TAGAGATCATTATTCTTTTGTCAGAGATGAGAGCATTGAAGTCTGGAGAGAAGGCAAGATATGGTAAGTGAGAAGCAGACCCAAAGCCTCACTGTTAACCACTCACTGTGCTCCTTCCAGATGAGAGCCATTCATCAGGGCGTTGGCATGACAACCAGAAAAGTTTAGACACCTTCCCAAACATCTCAGCTTCCCTCCCAGGCCCAGTATTTATGACCTTAAAAGGTATTACAGAAAGGGTTCTTCACCACAAAATAGAAGCAGGAGGCTTAGTTCCCTACTGACCACGTAGTGGCTAGGGTTCCTTTCATCCCTTTCCAGGCCTCAGTTTCCCCATCTGGTCAGTGAGGGGGTTGGACTCGCTCCTAGGGGCCTGAGTGGGTCTAGAGCAGGGGTGGGGAACCTTCTTTCCGCCAAGGGCCATGTGGATATTTATAACATCTTTTGTGGACCACACAAAATTACCACCTTAAAAATTAGCCGGCTATATTTGGTCAAACATGTAATTAACTCACCCCTAATGCCTTGGCAAGGCCAGACCAAAGGATTTTGCGGGCCTTGTATGGCCCATGGGCCGCATGTGTCCCACCCGAGTTAGAGAATAATATTAATTTAAGGAATAACAGAGTATGCTTTAGCATTTTTACTAGAAAACACCCACCAAGACTGGGAGATTTTGCTTTCAGCAAGGCTGCTAATTTCTTCATTAAGTGCATGTCCTTGGCCCGTTCGCTCTTCTTGTCACTGAAACAATAAACACAACACGTTCGTACAAATGTGACCTTGCTTCCTTCTAATTCTGACCCTCCGACTGTGCCCTGTCCTTTACTCTCTTCCTACCTTCTCTACCATTCAGTCTTCCCAAGTCAAAACTAGTTTCTTTTCTCCTCTTAGTGTCAAAAACAACACAACTTTCACTATTAGGTTTCCTGGCATTTTTTTAAAATTCATAACTTCATACACAATTCAGTAGTATAGTAACAACAATAACAATAGTCAAGGCGACAGTTTGCACTATGCTCAAGATTCCCAGGATGTGAGAGAAGAAGAAAGATGGGGTGAAGATGAGAAGGCGTGTGTGGTTATGGCCGCCCCCCTTCCTGCTCCTGATTCCGAGCTGCCTGCCTAGATGCCCACCTTGTCAAGAGAGTGCCATCCTTGATACCCGAGACTTGCTCTGAGGAAAGGAGAGCTCTGAGGCTCCGAGCCTAGCAAGCCCCCTGAGGGGTAAATGCAAGAGAAGCGCTTCTTTCTTTCTTTCTTTTTTTGAGAATTTTTATAAGAGCTTTTTGAGCCAAGCTGTCAGTGGGATGGAAAACTCGACTGAAAGTCAGAAGGACTTGCCTGTTCTACAATAAAACAATACAACGTGTTTTAAAAAATAAAATGGATAAAAGAAATCAGTAGTCATTGAATCCTCCCACATATCTAGCTTGGCTTCAGACACTGAGGATTATAAAAATGACACATTCGGTGAGGTCCCCACTTGAAGGAGCTCCACAGAGGGGCAGATGAAAAGGTGGGGAGCCATGACTACTATCAGATACCGGGTGCGATGAGCGGCGGGGGAGGAGCTCGCTGCATCCATGGCGGAGTGTCTGGAAGGCTGTGGAGCTGGGACTGAGCATTACGAGGAGGCTGACAGGAGTGGTCGTGAAAGAAATCATGAGGCACTACATTAGAGCCCTGGAGTGGAGGCTGGGGAGCAGCTGGGTCCCTAACGCAGGACGAGTGAGACGTGAGTCAGGACAGGATGTCCAGAAGCAACTGACCACCAACCAGTGCAGCTCAAGAGGCTGCGAGCCTAGCAAGCCCCTTAGGTAGAAACACAAGAGAAACGCTTCTTCTTTTTGGAGAATTTTTAGAAAAGCTTTTTGAATCAAGCTGACGACATGTGCCAGGGAACGAGACCTCCGATGCCCAGAGGAAGCCCTGCTCACGGGCACCAGGAGACACAGAGAAGGATGGTCACAGTTCACGGCCCCTCCCACCTCAAC